CCTCTCGCAGGTGCTGCTGCGCGGTGCGCGACAAGGGGGCACGAGGGGCGATGCTGGGCGCGCTCCGGGCGATGCTGGGTGCGCTCCGGGGGATGCTGGGCGCTCCAGGGGATGCTGGACGTGCTCCGGACGCTGCATGGGGATGGGTAGAGCAGCACAGGGTGTTGTTACCCCGGCGCTGCCCCAGCACTGAGCTGGCCAAACCCTAGTGAGTGCACATCCGTGTGCAGCGGGGAAGGGGCCCCGGCTCTTGCCCTGTCCCTGGGATGCGCTGGCGGTTCCCGTTAGATTTGGCCATGGAGCTGTGCGCTGTTATCTGCCCTGGGGGGCCGCCAGCTCGGAGACTATTGGAAACATACCGCCCGGGCTATTCCTGCATGGGGCTCGCACAAGCGCTTTCTGCAGAGCTCTGTAAAGGAAATTCCTGGCATTGTACGGGGCTGGTCTGAAGCGCTATTTCACCGGCAGCTTGCACTGCTTATGAGGGCAGCTTTGAGTCACCCTTCCCGTGCACCCCAGCCCCTTTGCCTCCGAAATGAAACCTTGCTCAGGTCACCTAGCAGGTGTCCTACTGGAGTTGCTGTGCTTTGGAAGGACCTGGAGTGTTGCAAGACACCAGGATGGGGTGGGTCAGCCCGTTTTACACAAAGAAAGCAGGGGGGGGAAGAAAGGGAAGAAAACTGTTGGCAGAAGCTTTTTTTTTTTTTTTCCGCATGCAGCTGGGGATGGCCAAGCTGGGCACTTTCTAGAAAGCCTCATGGTTGGCAGAGGCTGCTGGTATCTGCCAGCTCCGAGGCACTCGCTAACCTGCTGCCTGTGTGTGTGTGCTCAGCTCCTAGGGGACTATGACAAGGTGAAGGCAGTGTCTGAAGGCTCCGACTGCCGCTGCAAGTGCCTGGTGAGGCCCCTGGGCCGCGGCGCTTGCCAGAGGATCAACGAAGGCTCCTTCCGGGCGGAGGATTTTTACACGGTGGAGACCATCACATCGGGACCCAGCTGCAAGTGCGCGTGTGTGGCCCCGCCGTCAGCGCTCAATCCTTGCGAGGGCGACTTCAGGCTGAAGAAGCTGCGGGAGGCAGAGAGCAGCGACCTCAAGGTACGTGCGCCGCTCGAGCGCGGGCTCCCGGTGTCCCCGCACGCTGCTCGAAGCCCGCTCGCTTGCGCCTTGTCACGGCTCGAGGAGCAGCCCTGCACGGGATGAGGGTCTTTTCCAATACGGTTATCTGTGCGCACATACAAAAAGCCCTGCCCAAGCTGGGAAAATTGCTGCCACCAGCTGGCAAGCATCAAAATACTCACAGGCGGGCGGACAGCGCTGCTCCCCGCAACCTGGAGGGCAAGGCCGTTGGGCTGATCTCTGGGATGGCTCCTACGCTGAGGTTCTTAAAAAAAAAAAAACAAAAACAAAAACAAAAAACTTTTTTTTTTTTTTTTAAGCTTAAAAGTTCTGTTGCTCTTCTTGTCGGGTATCACCCCCGGTGCTGAGGGTGCTCCCGCCTGCGCTCATGGGATCTGCTTTTCCTGCGTCACTTGAAGCTTGAAGGTGTTTGGTCTCATCACGTGTGCACAACTAGTGGCTTGGTGTCCAGGCTCCTCTGCAGCTGAGGAAGAGAACCGGGCACGGGCAGATCAAAACTTTGGGGTAGGAGAAATTATGGTCTGGAGTCCTTCATTGGTCCTGCGTCCATGGGAGATGCCAGAACATCTGGCTTGGACCTGGGTGAGGAGCTGAGAGCTGTGGCTGGGGAGGACTCCCAGCAGGGCGACGGAGCTGCGCGAAACGTGTCCTGTGTGGAGGCTCTTGGGCCTCCTGCGTGTCCCCACAGGCTGCTTCCGAGAGCCGCTCAGCCTCCAGGAGGAGCACAGCCTTCGTGGCCAGCTCCGGGCTTGGCTCTGGCCGGCTTTTCCCTCCAGGGCCGTGCTCGCAGCCAGCTGCTGCGGTGTGAACGTTTGTCCTCTAGGAACTGGCCCAGGCTGCCGAGCTCATTTTGCAAGGATCCACATCCAAGCGATTTCACAAGGTTTAACCAAATATACACACGTGGGGCTTTTCTTTGCCGTAGAAGTCAAACCATGGGAGTTGTGAAAACAGGCTTGCTTTCTCACGGAGCGTTAAGTCCGTCCTGGGGTCAGACAGACCAGGAACGCTGACCTGTCCAAGGAGAAGCCAAGAGACACACGAGTGCATGGCTCGTAAATCACCCAAAAGTAGCAGCTCCCACATCCATCAGCAGATGGACGAGGCCGCTTGCTGCCCGCAGCAACCCAAGTGTTTCTGCCCTCTTGGCTGCTCTAGCATCATGTTTGCATGTTCCGGGAGGGACTCACTCTCACCTTCTATAGCAGCTGGGGAGAAGTTAATTGTGCCTTATTTGTGCAGACCACTGAAATCCACACTGCGTAGTGGGTACATGAGGGACATGGGATTAGTTGGCGCATGCATCAGTGCGATGTTTTGGGAGAGCCGAGCTGGGGAAGCCGAATTGAACAGCCTGTTTTTGCTGTATCTCTGGTTCACAGCTTGGCGGGGTGGCCTGGGCCTCGGTGTCTGTGCGACGAGCGCGTGTGCAGGGTGATCTGGAAGGTGCTTAATGGAGCCGCAGCCTCTGCGCGCTGGAGGCCATCCAGCCTGGAGGGAACCGCATCTCTCCAGTCTGGCAGGTTGCGTGCGCCGCGGCGCTCGGCTCGGGCCACTTCCCAGCGGAAAGTAGACGTGCAGCCATAAAACAATCCTCATCTCTTAATGCTGCCATTTTATTTGGCACAAAAAGCTTTCCTTTGCTGTCAGCTCCGTGGGGAGAGAGCCAAGGCCAAGGTGGAAACTCCAGTGTGCTGCCAGTAGCGTTGCCTCTGTTTCTGCTGTGTTCGCGGAGCACTGTCGAACGTTGCTTTAAGTATTGGGATATCCTGTTGACCGTGTGCTCCTTGCGTTGCAGCTCGCCTCCATCATGGAAATGCTGGAAAGTGCCTTTTACGGCTTGGACCTGCTGAAGCTGCACTCGGTCACAACGAAGCTGGTGGGTCGGGTGGAGAAGCTTGAGGAGGTAAGACAGGTCCTGCTTCTTGTCATTTGGGATTGTTGCCTTCAGCGAGATTTACCTAAAATCAAGTTCTTGGGACCTTTGATGCATTTGGGGCCTTAATCCTTGTGGAAGAGGCATTAAGTGACCACAGTTCAGTTTTGCCACTTGGTTATCATTGTCACACCGTGCATGATGGTGCATCACCCAAAAAGACTGTTTGGGTGCGGTTTCAAGTGCATGAAACTGCGTTGGGTGCCTCGGGTTAGGTCCCCTGTCCGACTTCTGGTGTGTTTGAGGGGCAGTGACCTGCAAGCCGGGACAAAACTGTGGCAGATGCTGCAGCGCAGACACAGAGGTGAGGCCTGCAGGCCTCCGAGGGGAGGAGAAGGAGCCTTGGCTGCAGGATGGTGTCTGTGTCCCAGCAGAGACCTCCTCAAGCACTGTCAAAGAGCGGATGCAGAGGCTTTTTTGGGTAAACAGCACGAATCACATCTTCAGCCTCTTTATTTTTCCCTTGAGACATCTGTGTGGGCCAAACCATCAGTGCACAAAGAGCTCTTAAAGAACTGTGAGAAAACGCTCTGTGTGGACACTGCTACTTGGTTTTTACGCTGTTTTGAAGACATTCCCTTTGTCTTTGTTGGACTAAAACTAAAGTAAACTAAATGAAAGATGAACTGAACCACCAAAACTAAAGTAAAACCATTTCAGTAACCGCTAGCCGAGAGCAATTGCAGCCACCAGCTGTGGTGAATATGTTGTTGCCCTGCTAGTTGTCAGCACGAGCTGAAAACTCACGTGCAAAAACCTGTCCCGGTGCTGTAAGGATGCAGCAGCCGTGGGGATGCAGGGAGAGCCGGGATCCCTCAGCAAAGCGCTGGAGCCCCAGGGCACCCTCCGGCACTGAGCCTGGGAGCTGCGGCTGTGTCCAGCGCCGCACGCCCTGGCCGGAGCCGCCCGCCTCTCCGGTGCCGGTCCCAGCGCTGCAGCGCCCGCCTGGGGCGGCTGCTGGTCCTCGCGTCCCATGTGGGCCTCCCACGCTGCGGTTCGAGGCCGTTGCCCCCCGGTCCATTCTTGCCCCCATGGAGGAGAGTTTGGCTTCATCACCTCTGGTCTATGCTCACCAGGCCTCCAAGGAGGCCAAAGAAGTCCTTAACGGACAGGTTGCATCTTGGCCTCTCCTAAAAAGAGCTAAATCCTCCACGCAGCTAAAAGCATGGATAAAATACCTTCAGTTCCTTATAGCAGATGTTCAGTGGACTCATTTTGACTTCCATGCACTTTAATATTCCTTTGGCTGGTGCAGCGTATGGTTTGCAGTTTGTTAAACTACATTCGGCTCTGCAGCAGCAGGCTGCCAGGTTAAATACTGGAGCTTTCCCCCTTGCTCCGT